GGTAGCAAACAAGAAAAAAAAATGGGGCTGAGAGATAACACAGGGAAAGAATATTAGGATAGATTTTCTTTTGGCATCACATCAATCTCAAGTGTAACTGGTCTCATGCACGGATCAAAAGGCTTCATGTCAAATCAAGATCTTACAAGTACAAAATTTATCATTATTACTGTTTTACTATTAGGTTAGAGCATTATTTTATGCCACTTCTGATGATTGGTAAGTTTACCAAAATAATTTGTTGCTGACCACAGGAGTGTGGCATCGATTCAGTTCCAAGGGGATTCAGTCCTACACAGGAAATATAGACTCGTGACCCAAGTAGTGTTAATCCATTAGAGGTGATATGGTTCCAAGCATAACCATCAATCATCATAATCGTCATTTATGATGATTGTTAAGTTTACCCAAAAACTGCCTTGGTTTTTTTTGTTCTTGAAGCTCACCAAAGCACAATGCACGTGTTCTCTTGATATATAAAAGATTTTCATGCTGTATATATCATCTTCTTTCTGTTATGTGTTTTCTTCTAATTAATACTTTAGAATCAATTACTTATTAATATTTGATTCTTTTCTCCCCCACTAGCTTTGTTCTCGAAGCTCTCTAAAGCATCTTCAAGGCACCACAACATTGGCCTCGATCTAATCCACTAAAAATTACTCCACAAGTTTCCAAGTTTTTTTTTTTTTTTTTTTTTTTTGCTTATAAAAATAAAAATCAATCCCTAACAATTTCTTGTCCATTGCAATTATCCGAGTGAAAATTCTCACATTATTTCGTGCAGCGACCTAGTTGATCACTCATCAATCATCATCATCAAACTCAAACAAAAAGGATGAACTAATAAAAACACACACACACACACACAGAGAGAGAGAGAGAGAGAGAGAGAGAGAACATACCAATATCATAAACGGCGATATCATCAAGAAATCGCTTCTCGGCGAATCCACCAAAGACGACGACTTTCGACTTGCCGACGAGCACCGCCGTGTGCCCACTGCGCAAGTTAGCGAAACACGACGAAAGAGGCCTAGGTTTAGGATCAAGAAGTAGAACTGAAAGCAGACAATTGAGACGAGATTCGTGTCACCTTCGAGGGAGCGGGAGATTTCCACTGAAATCGGAGCGATCAGCTTTAACCCAGTGCATCTCTCTCTCTCTCTCTCTTCGATCTCAGCTGCCTCGATTTTGACTCATGAGAGAGAGCGAAGGGAACAAGGAAATATTTTTAGGACCCAGGTCTCTGAAATATATATATTTTTGAGAGGGGTTTTCTCGATATTAGCCTCTTAAACCATTCATGGCTTATTTTCACTTCAATACACAAAAGTTTACCCACTTCGCCACTTTTCATACCCCAGAAGTATATTTTTAACGCTTTGGCACCCTAGAGTTTCAATCTTTCAAGTCTTTCTTTTACAGTTTGACACTCACGGTCGCGTTTCGCTTTGATACCCTTGGCGAATTTTTGTCAGATTTTCTGTTACATTTCCATCGCTTGCTTTACAACTTGGTGAAATGGATTTCAGTGTGCCACGTTCTAAGAATGTGATGTAAGTTTAATATAAAATCTAATGGAATCCAGACGAGGCATCAAGCGAAATATGGTTGGAACTTTGAGGTGTCAAAGTGCTAACGGAAAACTTTTGGGTATCAAAGTGAAATGAGAGTATGAAACGATGATATGTGTAAAAATGTTTGGGACCAAAGTGAAAATATGCCAATCTTTTAATCTTTTTGAAACTGGTACGTCAAATCCTTGAAATATTCAAGATTTGGGGGTGTGATATGACAAAAGTAGTTCATTAACTCAGTGATAAGAGAACTAATCCTGTACTTATGGCGGCAAATGGGCCGGCAAAAAGCCCAAATCATAACTTCCACAGTTTATGGGGAATGAACAGTGGACCAACTTCCGCACCCAAATATCTAACCCATTAATCTAACTAACTAACGTTTTACAAAACGCCACGTCACCGGTCGAAGGCACGAGTTCAAGTGTAGAGTCCCCACATCTTTCGCTGCGGTCGGCGATTCAACACTCTCGTCGACTTGACCTACCAAGTACCAACGAATTCAAAAGGTCCAAAACACCCCTGATCTCCTCTAGATCCTCCGTTACGTTTGAGGGGTAACTTCGTCCTTAAAAATCCGAGCAACGCCATTACTACTGGCAAATTCTCCCTCTAAAGAGGGAGGGAGGGAGAGAGAGAGAGAGAGGAGGCCGAGATTTCTCGTTACTGGGTAAAATTTCTTACTTTGCTTCGTGTATTAAGCTACCAAGTTTGTGGATTTTTGACGATTTGAGGAATTTCGGTAGGCTTTTAGGGTTAGGGTTTTGCTTTGCTGATTGCTAGTCGTTACAAGGTTCAAATTTTTTTTTGAATAACGAGTAGTGGGTGCTTCTGTTGGACCTTGAAGCCGTTAGATTGAGCTAGGTCCACGTCAAAATTGACACTTTTGATCGGGTCAATGGTCACAAGAATCAAGATTCTTGTGCTGGCGACTTGAAACTGAATTCGTGAAACCTCGTCCGTTGTTGGAAAAATCTAAGTCAGGAGTCTTGTCTTTGTTCATTAAAAAGACCCAGCGATCGATATTCTGTATGGGTAGTAATTGTTCTGCGTAATCTCCTTATCGGCTAATGTTGACCCTGATCGTTTTACAGGTGTGTTATCCGAGCAGGCGTGCAAGATTTAGATGTGAAAATGGCGCGCGAGTGGAGGTAATAACTCGGTTTCTTGAGTATGAATTGCTTGCAGCTAAAGAATAAATAGATTGGTTCTGTACGTAAGCTTGATTATGTATGACAATTTTAAAATTAGAACCTGGTTGAAATGTTTCCTGTGAGCACTATAAGTTTATCGTACGCATAGATAGTATTCTTTTAAAAGGTACAATAAATAGGTAGACGGTGGATACGAGAATAATTCTTCCTTTGGGATGAGGATGACTTCCTTCCAATCTGTATCATATTTTTCGTTCTTGTTGCCTCATTTTTCAGTTTGTAACATATGTTTTCCTCTTAGTGCCTCATATTTTGAAAGTTAAAACATTCTTAGATCTAGGTTTTAACATAAAACTAATGGAAAAACAAAATCTCAATGTATGAGAATGCATATATCAGAAGTGTGTGGAGTGCGTCAACTGTGTTCGGGAGTAGAAATTAAAAAGAACTTTCACAAATTAAGTGCAGATTGGAAAAGTGTTTCACATGTATCTGATGGTTGTGCAATGATTTTAAAAGCAGCGAAAAGCATGGTAACTAGCTGAGTTGAGTGCCAAAGTAACCATTTAGGCCAATAGCATCATTTTATGATTAAGCTACCAATAACCTTACTTCCTTTCTTTTAAACATCACAAATAAAAGGTTCACTGAAATGTGGATGCCGAGGAACAATTGTTTTATACATTGCACTACTTAACTACCCCCTCCTTGACCAGGAGTGGTGGTAGCTGATGGTTTATCTTTGATGGGGTTTGGTTCTTTCTTTGGGGGTGCCGGCTCCTTACATCTGGCCCTTCACTGACCTTGCAATACCCAAGGACCTGTATGCTCAGCTGCCCTTTACTGTTGTTATACCTTGTACTTTTATGGTGAACCAGAGGTGGAAACTTATGGAAATAAGCAGTATTAATAGCCTCCACTCAATTTAATTAAATGACGGTTCTGAAACATGCACGCACCTAGGTAAAATACATATGTGATCCCCTTTTAAACCATTGTTATCACTTGTACACTAAATTACATAACAAAAAAGAAGATTTTGAATAAATTGTGGCACTACTGAATTCCCGATGAGAACTGTAAAAATAACCCATGCAGATTAGGAGTGCTGCTCTGAGCCAAGGGACCAGTGATCATTCTTTGTCACATTCTTCTTTTTTCTTCTCTTTTCCTCAATCTCATTGTTTCATGATGTTTCAATGGTGTACTTTGGTTGCTTGGTGCAATTAATCAGTGTATGCTTGCATTGCAGGGAAATAAAGCATTAAACGGTCCTCAGGGTATGTGCTTGTGAGTATTAGATAGGAATTTACGTATAGGGTACGTTGGATAAGTTTTGCAGGGAAACATCATGGGGGACTCAACAGAAATGACTATCGAGTTTCTTCGAGCTAGGTTACTTTCTGAAAGATCCGTTTCAAGGGCAGCTAGACAAAGAGCAGATCAATTGGCTAAAAGGGTTTGCTCTTGTGCTCTTTTTCTTCAGATGGTACTTTTTTCATGAGATTCTCCAAATAATTTTCTGTCTCCTGAATGGTCAGGTCATAGAGTTGGAAGAACAGCTCAGGATTGTTACTACCCAGAGAAAGAAAGCTGAAAAAGCAGCATCAGAGGTTCTTGCAATCCTTGAAACTCGGGGAATTGGTGATTTATCCGAGGGAATTGATTCGAATTCTGACAGAGAAGCTGCCTGTGATGATACTCAAAGGGAATATGAATCTTCTGCAGCCTCAAGATTGGAAAGAAGTGAAGTGGATGATGGATTTTCAGGCTCAGAGCCTGAAGTTTCCCCCTCTCAAGGTAGGAGCTTATCTTGGAAAAGCCACGGTGGTAGTTCAGGTTCTCATGATAAGCGAACAGCAAAGCAGATAAGGCAAAGGCAGAGACGTCGAACCTTCTTGTTACATTTGCAGTCATCTTCGAAGCATCAGTCGGGAAAGTCTTGCCGTAAGATAAAGCGAAAAGATACTGGGTGATTCTCTAAATAACTACAATAGATCAGAATTTTTTGCTAGCATATCTTTTTGTAATCTTTTTGTATTTTTCAGATCACCTGCAGATAGCGAGACACACAAGCCTACCCTTCTCGATGACCAGGGAAATGGAGGGATCGCATGCTCTAAATCTCACGATGATGAACCTGACGCATCGATGATAACCTCAAGGGGCGTAATGGAGGATGTGGTTGTGGTCACCTCAGATTTCCACCATGTTGATGATCATAGTAGACAAACTGAAGTTCATCCTTGTGCGAATGGGAGTGAGAGAGATGAAGAGATGGAGAGAGTGCTAGAGAAGCAGGCCAAATTTATTGGTCAGTTCCAAGCAGAAGAAACTGCTCAGAGAGAATGGGAAGAGAAGTATAATCAAAGCAAGACATCAACTTTGGTATGTATCTCACTTGACAGTAAGCACTAGCTGCTATATAACAGTGCCACCTAATTATTTTAGTTTCTGGATGAACAGTAAGGCTACTATAACTGTTGATTTGGACCAAAAAAAAACGTAATTTATATTTGTAGTAACCTGTAATTCCTTCCAAGAAAATATTACGTTGAATTCCAGGGTGATTAATATTGATCCATGTTGTGTGTTTCTTGAAAGTTTAATTATAACGTTTTAACATTATGTCAGCTAAGCCATTATCAAACCAAAAATCCTATCTCTTCTGCAATTGATTCTTGACAGATTTTATATTGCTGCCGGATCCCATAAAAGACCAACTTATTGAAATATTGTGCTGTTTCTCCAAGTTTTTTGAGTTATTATTAAACCAAGTAATTACTTTCTAAATGATGTAATCTCTCTACCATCTTGAAAACAAAAAGCACTCGAACTGTTGCGCATGATTTTCCCTTGTACTTAATAACTTGAAGTAATGCTCAAGTAATACTTAGTAGCTTCAACTAACAGTTATGAGTTGTTCAATTGAATAATTTTCATTTGAACATTTTCTTTTCCAAAAGAAGACGAAATTTTTGGGTTTTGATTTCTTATAAATTGCTGCTAAATCTTCAAAAATCAAGGGCAGATGTTTGTATTGCTGACTTATGCAAGCATTATCATATCTTTTCTCTACTTATACAAATCAATTTTCTACATAAGTCATTTCTATTACCTAGAACTAGAAGCTCCAGAAAATTATTCAAACATAGCATTTCACCATTAAATATATAAACTTTAATCCATATAATTGACTGGCTTTGGTAATGAACTGTTTAAATTGAGTAGACAAGATTTATTAGTTCATGTCATGGGTCATGAATTTCGACGGTGCCACATGGTAGTTTACGTTTCAATAGTTCAGTCATGTTCATTATGAGTACTATGTGATCTGTACATAGTACCGTTGCTTACATAGTACTGTTGCCAGATTTTGGTTTCTGAACAGTCCTATTGAGCCTTATATGTCTTTTGGTCCCAAATTTTAGGTCAATAATGAACCTGGGAACCAATCCCATGTAGCTGTAAGCAGTAGCAAACCCAAGAAGGAAGTGTCTAAGCTTGCTGACAAGACTCCAGTTTTTGGCAATGACGCAATACCTAGACCTCTACATACTTCCGGCAATGGGGAGGCAACGGTTGAGGGCCTTTCAGGTTCAGAAAAAAATAATGATAGAAGCGACGAAGCATCAGATACAACCTTTTCCAATGGTTCCGTACCTAGGGAAACGAAAAACAATTCTCATGAATCTACTGTTTCAGCTCCTGAGAACTATGGTACGATAAGAAATCGAAACCAGAATGAAGTAAAGCCCCGAGATGTTCCTGATGGTTATCCAAGCAATTCGACATTGAATCCTCATGGACAGCAGAAATATCGACAACTGCCCCAAGAACATGGTAACAAATTAGGGAATGTGTTAGAAGCACTTCAACGTGCTAAGCTATCATTAAGTCAAGAATTAAAGAAGCTTCCTTCTTCAAGTCAAGGTACATTGTCAGTAGTAACACCGACCAATTCTCAAACAAGGGCTACAGAAAGTTTGAACATCCCCATTGGCTCAGCTGATCTTTTCAGATTACCAACAGATTCATATCCCCGAGCCCAGCTCTCTTTACCTGAGCTCAACGGTGCAAGATCAAGTTTGTTACCTGATCGCCCTGATGTTGGGTATGGCTACCAGCACTCTAATACTACTTCGTATATGGAAATTGGACCTAGATTTGTACGGAGCAGGGAATATATTGATAATTACTCCAATATGTATTCTCGGGCTTCTTCAGACTTGTCAGCAGAGAGGGTTTCTCTTCGCGGTGAATTTTCAAAATCATACTCTGATTCAAGGAACAGAATGCCGCGTGGAGATGGGTACAATCTGTATGGAGACCATCAAACTCGCTTCCTCTGATACGCGGTTTTTTTTAAAAAATTTCTTCTTGTTAGTGAATGAGGATGCTAGGTATTTTTATTGAGGTTTCGTTTTCAGTTGCGTTTATGTTTGTACCGTAGATCATGATTTTGTAGAATGTATTAATAAATTGCTAGTTTGAAACTGTTGGAAGTTGTAACCAGATCTGTATAATTGTAAGTTTCGGCAAAGTTTTCCGTTGAGGTAACCTCATGCGTGCTCTCCAGTTTCTTGTGGTATTCATTTGCTGGTTTCTCCTTATCTTGCTGCATTTTATACAGTGAATCATTTGCGATGTTCTGTGAAATCTAGTTTTATTTGTAACTTCCAAATGTGTTCTGTGGCAAGGCATTGGTGGCTTGGTGCTGCTTTGTTCTCATTCATGGAAATGGCTCCCAAGTTTTCGGGGGGTTTTGCGAAATTTACCTTCTCTTCAGACTTCAGATTACAGATAATATATTTGAATTCGCAAAATTCATAAATAAATTAATAAATAAGCAGGTACAACATTATCAATTTTGACCCACTCGTAAATATTTATTAAAATCGAACTAGTTTCAAAACTAGGTCGATTTTGGTAATAAAAAAAAACTTTCCGAACTTCATGGGATTGGCAATCTCGTGAAATTAAATTATGTGTTAATCTCTTCGGGATTCCCAATCCCGTAAAGTTTATGAATTTTTCTTTTTTCAGAATCAACCCTAGTTCCCAAAATATTTTATCAAAATTAACCTGGTTTTAGCCAACGTGACAGAAACTAGGTCTATTTTGATAAAAATTTTGAGTAATAGTTTTAATTCAAAATTGTCCTTCGTTAGTTTCTCCTTATCTTTGTGCATTTTATACAGCAAATCTAAGGCACTGCTTTCTTCGCATGCGAGGAAATGGCTCCAAGTATTTTGGGGGGATTTGTGAAACTTATCTTTTCTTCAGATAACAGAGTATATTTGAATTGGGCGCATTTGTCAAACTTATCTTTTCTTCAGATAACAGATAGTATATTTGAGTTGGCAAAATTCATAAATTAATATATAAGCAGGTCACAGTAAAAACATAATATAATCTTTTCGGCAAGATAATATAATCTTTTCTGCAAGAGCGCCACCTAGGACACACGTAGAAGACTAATAATAATATACACTGAAAAGAGAAGATCACAAAGATCAACATCCCCCATTGATTGTTCTACTCACACTTGATACGCACCCTATACATGAGAATTTCAAAATAAACCTCGTACACCTAAAACCTGCTAGAATTGCCTCCAATGCTCCCCCGAACTCTGAGGGAAAAAAAATCATGTCAAACACGGACGCATATAGCATAGAATTACAAAGACCAATCATACATCACGGCTTGAAAACTCAACTCCAACTCCAACGCAGCAAATCCTCGTGTATCGTGGAATTCTCAGTCGATCGTTTGCCTTCAGCTGTGAAAGAGCATTATCTGCTTATGATGTGGGAATCAAATTGGAAAACCGCGAACCTCGAAGCAAAATTGCAACACATCACAGGCCAACCCATTTCACCCATCTGAATATTTTGCCGACTTTGAAAGGAAGCTCATAGTCTCTCAAAACAGCAGGTTCCCTCCTTGCTGCCTCTGCTTCTGACCATACATAAACTCCACGTTCTTGTCTGCTACCAGGAACAGTATTGTCGAGAATCACGGCGATAAGAAATGCAATCACCATGTTAAATGATAGCAGTGTGTTCATCACGTAATTTACCTGAGAAGAAAACATATGGGATGGACAAAAATGATGCTTATGAATACATAGACCCCTGGTACTTCTTTTGTTGGAGATAGATCCCCCAGATTCTCAATTCCATTAGTTTTCCCATTTAAATTAGTTATATAATAATAATCATGCAAGTTCAAAGTAAAATCAGTTCATGAAGCTCATGTTTACTTAATGAAGCCCAATCTTAACATGACGCTAACGGAGTTGAGAATCCAAGGGGTCTATCTGCAACAATAGAACTACAGAGGGTCTATCCGCAATTTGGTGATAATACAGGGGGTCTATCCGCAAGAAACCTTTTAAGTTCAGAGCATACCCCGCTGTATCCTGTGTGGAAAGGCCCATGAGATGCAACTATATATGGTTGGAAGTAACTTGGCACCGATGAATTTGCATTGGGAGTCAATCCATATTGCTGGAAATAAGCAGGTACCGATAAGGAGAAAAATAAGGACAGCCCGACAATGATATTATTACGGGAGCTTCCTGTTTCACTATATCGTAAGTTGGACAAGCCCAGAGCTGCAAGCATGGCCCACATAAAGCAAAGAAGAGCAGCGACCATGACACCTGGAATGGAAGCAACAAAACCTCCAACTTTACCTGCATACAAAAGAGAGACAGAAACCCAACATGATAACCTTAATAGTTCCACAAACAGTTAATTGAAGATAAATCCCATGTACTTCTATTGTTGCGGATAGACCCCCTGGATTCTCAACTTTGCTGGTCTTCTCATTCAAATCAGTTATATGTAATGATCACTATGCAAATTTTAGGAAGTAAATCAGTTTATGAAGCTTATATGATTCAAATTATGAAGCCCAACCTTAACGTGAAACTAACGGAATTGAGAATCCAGGGGGTCTACCCACAATTTGGCGATAGTACAGAGGGTCTATCCACAATCCAGGGGATCTATCTGCAATTTGGCAATAGGGGAGAGGGTCTACCTACATTAAACCTTCTTAAATGTACCGCAGAAATGACAGTTGATTGTGAAATTTCAACAGACAGGGCAATAGATCTGCTTACCAATGAAGGATAGAAGTATCAAAATGACAGCACCCAACTCAACTGCCCTCCGGCTGCCCATTTTGGTAACTGCAATTGTGTGCACATTCTCGGTAAGAGTTGTGGAGCCAACACCTGTTCCCCAGATGCCAGCCAAGATACTGGAGAAACCTTCGATGCCAATTCCTCTGCTAAGTACACCAGGCGTTGGTGGCCTAGATGCCACCAATAAGGATGATGCATGGTATGATCCAACCTTTAAGAAGCCACACATGAAATGATTGAATCAAAACACATAAGATATTTCAGTTATTTCAACATTTCAGAACTCAAATAGCCTAGAACAAATTTCAATATCTTAAAGCCAAAGACAAAACATAGTAATTAACGAAACTCTAAGCTTTGGTCTCAATGTGCTCAGATGTTTGCATAAGATAGACAACTCTAGCATTATCGATAGGGAAAAATATGCAAACAATGGCATTAAGCAACGGCACTTACTTACCCGACCATATAACATATATACTGGTAGCTTACCCTATTAAGACCACTTTAGTTTTTTTAATAGACTGACCTTATTTCTAAAAGAGATGAGATTATTGAAAACCAATAAAAGATGAGGAGTCAGTTTGACTTCCAATTTCAATAATATTTTTATGCTCCCCAATTTTAGTATTTATTATTTTCTCCAATTTACTTTTCTTAAGGTCATTGATATAAGCGCTGCTTCCTGACTCAATCTGAGCACAATTGAACCTGATATGTCATCCAGGACTTCTTATCAAACGTACACCTGAGAACTCTACATAGGAGTTCTTCTCAAACTAGTAGAAGACAAATAGCTTCAAGGATGAGACCAATAGTGTTGTAGGCTTCAGCATCTTATATCAAATTTAAAAGCTTATGCTACCTGCCCGTGCTACCAATAATATATTAACATGTGGTATCTACATGAATGAAGAGAATACGTATAAAACAGGCATCCTCTGCGAAAACTGAGCTCATTATCTAAAATGGACGTTTCTGTTAAGAAACAAAAACAAAAAGTAGATGTTGTAGTTTCTGTTAGAGCGAAAGGAGATCGCCAGATACTAATATGAACACAATTCAACTTCAGACTAATATACGTAATCCTTGCAATGCTAAAGAAAACAAGGTAAACAGATAATGTCAACATGGCATATGAAACTTACCGAATCAACAGATGTAATAATGGATACTGCACACATCGCAAGTGCCATTTTCCAATTAAATACAGGTGTACCCCATTGTAGAGGATATGGAAATCTAAACCATGGAGAAGACTTTAATGCATGGGAGCTATCAACACGGCAGTATTTCATTCTTGACAAATGCTTCCTGCAGTAAGCCGATAAAGTATTTGAAGCTGGTATATTAATATCACAACCTTTATAGCTGTAAACTCCAGATTGTGTGAGAAGAAAGGCAACAGCCCATGTGATTCCCAGTCCTAAAGGAACCTGTAAATGACATGACATCGAAGTGGTTATCATTTGTAGTTTCTCGCCATTAACCTATGACCTTATTCTTTAGGAAGTACAGAAGACATATTTTCTTAGAAATATAACATTTAATAATCATAGCATAAGCTTACCGCATAGATTAAAAAAATACGATGACCAAATATCCTTATCTTGCGAAGATACTGCAAAAAGAATGCAAGTGTAACTATATTATTTTAACATCAGTGGCACGGCAATTACCAATAATGACAGACTACAAAGCTGATTTAATATGCTCAGTCATTAAAAGGAAGCATTGAAGTGATGTTCCCCTACCAAGGAGAAAATGATGACTAGCAATATCTGCAGAACACCAATTTCTAGACAGTTGCCCACTTGAGTAAAACCATAACTGAAAAAGGAGAGGCCAATAGCTGCTATTGTAGGAGACACCACAACTGGGTTTATCAACCTGAAAAAAGAAGTGAAAGCAAAATAAGGTCACTTAGCTACTGTTTCAGAAGTAAATTTAAAGGTGCTTCCTATCAAATACAAGGTATGTCTAGCATACTTATATTAACTCTCCTCTCTCCCTCTACTACGCCTCCTTTAGCAGCAGGCCCGCGACGCCCCCCCACCCACAGACGCATGGGCGCAGCTTCTAAAAGAAAAAAAATTGAAAAAAACCTATCTATGTGGAGGATTCTCAGATATCAAACAAGCATATATGACCATAGTCGTATTAACTTGTAACATGAAATTATATCTTTGTTGTACATGTGGCTGATGCAACTGAACTGAACAAAAATGTAAGCTAGAAAAAAAAAACAATCTGCTAGTGCTTTTCCCTTTGTTATGTGATGTTAGTAGACTTAGGATTATGATGCTCAATAATCATTGTTTACATGCTTATTTGTGATACTTAGACCATAATTTGCAATTTAAGTGTACACTTTTGTTTGCAGTTACCTACACAATGCTTT